TGGAGAGGAAGAGGAAAAACTGTCTTTAAAAGGCCACATGCTCATTAAGGCAGAAAATCCTATGAGAATGTACAAAGAAGCTGCTATAAATAAGAGGTTAGTTAGCAAGGCTAACTCAAAATGGATCAATGACCCAACCATAAAAATTTTTAATTAAAACTTTTAAAATATGGGAGAAAATCCTCTTTTAGAAAGATTTTATTTTTATTTATGTTTAAATAGAGGGGAATGGAGGGAGAAAGAAAGGGAGAGAAACATCAATGTATGGTTGCCTCTTGTGCTCCCCATACCAGGGAACCTGGCCCGCAACCCAGGCATGTGCCTGACTGGGAATCTAACTGGTGACCTTTCGCCTTGCAGGAAGATGCCCAACCCACTGAGCCACACCAGTCAAAGTGGGAGGAAATCTTTATGACCTTGGGTTAGACAAAGATTTTAGAAAGGACAGAAAAAACAGAAACCATAAAAGCAAAAAATTGATACATTAGACTTCATTAAATTTTTAAATAGTCTATTCTTTGCAAGACACTGTTAAAATGAGAAGTCAATTCACAGATGAGGAAATATTTGCAAAAGATATTGATAATGGAGGAACAAGTATGAAAGACACAGAGATGAGGACTGGGGGGGGAGAATGGGAGGGAGGGGGGAGACCGGGGCGGGGGGGGGGGGTGGGATGGGAGAAATAGATAAAAAAAAAATGTACTTGAAAAGTAACTAAATAAAATTTAATATTTAAAAAAAAAGATATTGATAATGGACTTACACACAAAACATATGAAGAATTCATATAACATTAATAAAAAGATTTTAAAAATCCGTATAAGTGTACAAAAGACATATTCATTTAACCAAGTAAGATCTGAGTAAAATTAAAGACTGACCATAGCAACTACTAGAGGGGATGCTGAGCAACTGAAACTTGCAGACACCACTGGTAGGAAGGGAAAATGGTACGGCCATTTTGGGAAAAAGTCTGGCAGTTTCTTATAAAGTTAAACATACTTATACAATGTAGCATCCCACTCCTTGGTAATCATTCAAGAGCAATAAATGAGAATGTTCAAAGCTGGTTTATTCATAATAGCCAAGAACTGCAAACAGCCCACATGTTCCCTATCTGGCAAGCGAATAACAAACTGGGATAATACAGCAGGCCCTCTGTATCAGAGGGTTCTGCACCTGCAGATTCAATCACAGGTCAAAAACACGCAGGAAAAAATGGCTGTGGCTGACATGCACTATGCAGTTAGGCCTAGAATTGGTGTGTCTATAACGAAGAGGTGCAGACTTTTTTTTTATTATTCCCTAAACAATACAGTATAACAACTATTTACACAGCATTTACATGGTACTAGGTATTACAAACATGCATGTGTTAATCGACTGTGTTTTCAGTAAGGCTTCTGGTCAACAATAGGCTATTAGTAGTTAGGTTTTTAAGGAGTCAAAAGTTATACATGGATTTTTGACTGTGCAGGGGATGAGCACCCCCAACGCCTGTGTTATTCGAGAGTCAACTATAATTTTAGCATTCCTTAAATCCCGCACAAGTCTTCTTCCATTGTTCTCACCTGCATATGTCTTTTCAGAAATGTTAAATACAATAGTAAGTCATTCCACCTCTGCTACTTTCTAACCACGTAAATCTAAACAAGTCATTTAGTCCCTCTGGGCCTTAGCTTCTTCGTAAGTAAAATAAGACAGGGCAACAGATTATCTAGGAGCATTGTGTGTGTCGTAATAAAATGGGGAAAAAATCACACACACAATCCCATACATATACACCCTAGAAGAATAGGAAGCTTATGATGTGGTCCACTCACTGTTTCCCCTTCCTTTCAATCATGACCCTGATTGACTTTCACAAGTTTAGATCAGGAGGCTTCTCAAACGTACTGATTTCTGTGACTAGCCAGTGGCTATCCCCAAAACATTAAAAGAAATAAAACCCTTAGCAATATAGTAGACCTACCTTCTGATGAAAACAGTCAATCTCCCCCGCAAGATTTCTTTCAATTGTGTAAGACAGAAGCAACCATTAGCAGCTGAAACATACCAGAAATGGCAGGGGCAGTCTGAATTCTCTGACTTGTCTCCCGCACTAGCACGTAAGCTCTAGGACAGAAGAGATCTCGCCTGGCTTGTTCACTACTGCATCCCCAGAGCCTGGCAAACCAAGGTACTCAAGAAGAAGAAAAAGTTTAACTATGGAATGCCTAGAAAATAAATGTCACGTTCTTCTTGAAATGACAGCTTTTCCTTGGCAGGGTAAGCTTGTCTACTTAATAAAGGAACCAATGCTCATATAACCAATAGGTAATTTGCCACTCATCAAGTATACAAAGTTGTATAAGGCACTTGCCCCTCCATGCCCTCAAGATGCTCTAAATCTAAAAGGAAGGCAACCCAAGAAGCTCCTTTACCTCCAAACAAGTTAGATCCCAAATACTTTGTTATCGAATGTGAGATACACATGAAAAAATCTCACACATCACTAGGCATTAAAGAAATGCACATTCAAACCACAATGAAACACCACTAAATGACTGAAATTAAAGATTAACACACCAAGTTTTGCCAAAAAATTAGAGCCGATAGAAATCTCTACCTGAAACTACTAATACTGTACATCAACTGTAATAGAAAAATAAAGTACTTAAAAGAAATCTCATCTATTGTTGAGGGGAATATAAATTAGTAGTCACTTCAGCAAACAGTTTGGAAATTAACTTTTAAAATTAAATACTTGCCCATACAACCCAGAAATCCTATTTCATCATATTTAATCAAGAGAAATGTAATTGTTATGATCACACAAAATCTGCACAAGTATTCACAGCAGCTTTATTTATAACAGCCAAAACCTGTAACTCAAATGTCCATCACTCAATAAACAAACTACGGTGCATGCACACTGCTAACAGAATACAACTCTGCATCAAAGATGAAAAGCTACTCTTAACATGAACAAACTTTAAACTTCTGTTATGAGAGAACCTAATCACAAAAGGTTATACTGTCTGGTCCCATACATATGGCATTCTAGAAAAGACAAAACTATAATAAGAAACAGATCAGTAATTGCCAGGGCTGGAGGAAGGAGGGGACTGACAGAAAAGAGGCTCAAGGAAACTTTATGGGGCCGTATTTTGTGTGTGGCAGTGGCTACATGATTATATGTCTCTCAAAACTCAAGAACTATACACAAAAAGGATGAACTTTATGTAAACTATATCTCAATACATCTAATTAAACAGCAATCTGCCGCAATAAGGAATAGAACTACCTAGTAATTTGAGCTAAATCACAGTGCACTGAGCAATGAAGAAATGTTTAGTATTTTGTGTAGCTACATGTTCCTAGATCCAAAATGGACAGGAGGAGGTTATGAAGCTTGCAGACCCAATACATGGACATTCTACGGGGCATCTCTTAGTAACTGCCTCATGTGTCACTGTAGATTGCCAGGGCTGTCCAACCTTTTGGCGTCTCTGGGCCATACTGGTAGAAGAGGTGTCTTGAGCCACACATGAAATACACTGAAACATGTAATCACAAAAAAACTCATAATGTTTTAAGTAAGTTTATGGTTTTGTGTTGGGCTGAATTAAAGCCATCCTGGGCCACATGTGGCCCTCGGGCCACAGGTTGAACATCCCTGCCGGCTTAGACCCTTCAATCAACGGACTGTGAAACTGTAGCATTGCTTGTAGGTCTTGACAAAAGTTTCAGCAGTCAAACTGTAACTACTTTAGCCTTCCCCCAAATTTCTCCCATCCTTAGCTGCAAACTTCCCAGTTTTCCCATTTCGTTCACTAATTCTTTATCATTTGCTGATTACTACTGACTAAACAAAAATGGTACTTTTGGATTTCCGTCCTTCAGAATAATTCGTCCTGTCCCAAGCCATCATTTTCTTACTACTTACAATTTTTTAAATCTCTCATTTCAACTATGACTAAATGCTGACACTGTCAATACTCAGTACTGCTACGCTTGTTGAAAATGATAGCTTTGACAACAAACTAAGCTCACAGTAAACACACAGAATTTAAAAACAGCCAGAATGGTTGCCTGTGAAAAGTCCATAAAGAAACAAATGAAACACCATCTACTGGTGGGGTTAACCCACTTATGCTGTGGGGTGTAGCTTTGCTCCTATCTCAGAGTTCATCCTAAGGAGAAAGTCTGTCAGTGGAAGAGCTGCTGCACTTGAATACACGGTGCTGTGCAATGAATGCCAAAGCTCCAGGAAGAGGAAGGAGTCACATTTTCCTAGAGCAAATATGGTGAGACACTGTGCAAGAGGGAATCTGGGCTAAGTCTTTAAAGACTTATGTTTAAGAGGACAAGGCGACTAGATTGGAAGAATCTGATTTATGCTGGAGAATAAATACAGTGTGGGCAGTTTGTTGAGGGACTTGACTTTCAGGCTGAATAGTCTAGATTTGATTCTATGAGTAATGAGAGCCACTGAAAGTTTCTCAATAGAAAGGGGACACAATGAAAGGTACTTGGGGAGACTGTCATGGCTGTGAAGTATATATGAAGTATCTGGACAAGAAGTGACCGATCAGAATCTTGCAGAGGTACAGTCGGTCAGCAAATACCATCTGGTACCCAGGACAAAAAAAATCACCCCACCCCCTTCTCTATTCATGGCTTCTCCGAGGCCAAAAGAAATCTCAGTATCCTCTACACAACACTCCCATCAAGGAGAACTGGCATATGAGGTAAAACCTGTTTGCCATCTAGGCTAAGAAACACAAGATACCCACAGAGGAAAGAAAAGGAATGTCTGGTAGAAACACTATAGTTACTTTACTTTTATTTTGCTTTATTATTGTTCTATTACAGTTGTTCCAATTTCCTCCTATGTCTCCCCCTCGCCCCACCCTGTTATCCTGTCCACGGGTCATTTATACTTGTTCTCTAACTAGACCCTTCCCCTTCTTTCCTCCTCCCCCCGCCCTCTGGATCCTGTTTGTTCGTTTCCAAAAAATAGGGAATGCTTCAAGAATCTGCGTCATCACCCTTGCACAGGAGCCATACTGATCTTCCTTGTATCATTCCAATTTTAGTATATGTGCTGCTGAAATGAGTACGAGTTACTTTATTTTTTAAAAAGAACACACTTCCACTTAAAATATATGTGACAGAAAACAAAACAAAACAGCCATGGCTGGTGTGGCTCAGTGGTTGGGCACCAGCCTGAGAATCAAAGGGCTGCCGGTTCGATTCCCAGTCAGGGCACATGCCTGGGTTGCAGGCCAGGTCCCCAGTAGGGGGTGCATGGGGGTGACTGCACACTGATGTTTCTCTCCCTTTCTCTCTAAAAGATAAATATTTTTTTAAAAAACAGCGAAGTGGAGCTTTTGCTAACTGTAACATTTAGAAAATGATTTTTTTCTGGATAGGTGAATCTTTTCTTAGATTACTAAACAAGAAATTTTGAAAACAAGTCTTAAGAAATACATTAGGAAAAAAAAGGAACAAGATTCTAAAGCCAGCCATGCAGCCAATGGTGGGAGTACACAACAAATGACCTCTGTGGCCTCAGATTCCTCACCCATAAAGAGAATGAGAACTAAAAATCACCAGGGCCACTCCAACTCCAAGTCTGCATGATTCTAAACTACTGAGGGTTTGCTATGTGCCACGAGTGGAACGTAATAAAAATGCAGTATCTCACTTTTGAAGAAAAATATTCTTTTCTTCTTTTAATAGATACGGATACTGAGCCTGAGAGCGAGTGGCTCACCCATTCATTCAAACTCATAACTAACTCACTGGTGAGCCTGTTCAGGGAAACTGGGATACAGTAGTGAACAAAAATAAAGTTTCTGCCTTCCTAATTTTTAAAACTTTTTATTTACTGATTTGAGAGAGGAAGAGACAGACAGAGAGAGAGAGACATCAACTTGTTGCTCCATTTATTTATGCATATATTGGTTGATCCTTATTGTGCCCTGAGTGTGACCAAACCCACAACCTTGGCACATCAGAACACTCCAACCAACTGAGCTATCCAACCAGGGCTCACAGAGTTAAATTTTAGTTACCAAGGGGTGAACCCCAATTCTATCCTGGACTGGGGTTGCCATATAAAACAAAGGACGCCCAGTTAAATTTGGATTTCAGATAAATAATTTTGTCTTGTCTAATGAAATCTGGAACATTTAAAAAAATATTTTATTTATTTGTTTATTTAGAGAGAGGGAAAGGGAAGGATAAAGAGTGGGAGAGAAACATCAATGTGTGGTTGCCTCTCACATGTCCCCTGCTGGGGACCCAGCCCGCAACCCAGCAATGTGCCCTGCCGGGGAACCAAACCGACAACCCTTTGCTTCACAGGCCCGTGCTCAATCCACTGAGCCACACCAGCCAGGGCTGGAACATCTTTATACTAAAAAATCAGTCACTGTTTATCAGAAATTCAATTTTAGCTGGGTAATCTTTATCTATTTTCTCAATCTGGCAACGCTGGCCTACACATAACCACAAAACCTTCCTCCATCCTGTTACTGCAGGACATCTACATGGTGACTCTGACTACGTCAATGAAAAATTACTTTATACTGCAGCACAGCATAACACGAAATAACACAGAAGTTCTTTAAAACAATTCTTATGCCCTTAACAATGCAATGCGTTTTAACATCATCCATTCTTTTTCATTTTTTCGAAAAATGCTTGTCATGACCCACTAGAGTGGTTTTACAATCTACTAAGGGGTCATGACCTGCAGTTTAAAAAATACCTCTTTGAGAGATATGAAAAACAAGTTAACCTTGTCTTATGAGTCGCCCTTACAAGAGCGCCAATTAACTACATTGTGCTGTGAAACAGTAATGCCTCTGGGGTCTACTACGGCACAGAGCTAGAAACTCACAGTCAACCAGGATGCTGTGCAGTCATGGGTCACTAATAACATTTCATTCTATGACAGATCACATATATGACAGTGGGCCCGTAAGATGATAATGAACTCGAAAAATTCCTATCACCTAATGTGACGCATTACTCACATGTTTGTGCTGCTGCTGGTGTAAACAATCCCACTGCACCACCAGGGGTATAAAAGTACAGCACACACAATCACAGCAGTAGGCTATACCATCTAGATTTGTGTAGGTCAACTCTGATTTCACCTAACACAGGCTTCTCGGAATGTATCCCTATCAATAAGCAGCTCATGACTACTTTTTGAGCCCTCCTATCCCTTTTTTATAATGCTCCTATCTCTTAATTATCATGCTGTTATTTCTAATGGCAGTCAATATGTTTCCCCCTAAAAGCTTTACCTCTCTACTGGCTATCTGTAAATCAAAAAAAAGCAAACTACATAGAATCATGTGCAAAGTAAAAGCAAATAAACTCTGAAAGATGCCCTCAAGGTTTACCTTTCTGTAATCTGCAAAGATTTTAAATCTTTTGTGTACCTGATTTTCAAGTGTGTTTCGGGAATAAACAGTTAAAACTACACAAGGTCCACAAAAAAATGTTTACAAGCCCCAAAAGAAAAATCCATGATCTGGTTCAAAACCAGCCCTTTCTTTTTTAAAAACTAAAACTATAATCAAGATTAATCTTGACTACTTAAAAAGCTTACTGCTAAGAGTATTTTTTAACGTGTTCCATAAAAAGCAGTACAAACAAAAACTGGCAATCCTAAATACTGACAACAGGGTTAGATAAATCCTCTCAAGGTAATACTTAACCAGAGGACAACATTCTAAAGGTCTGATACACTTGATAATAATAAGCCACACTCATTTATAATTACCTTGCAGACAAGCCTCCTACCACAAACTGATGGGATTTATAAAGACTCCATTACAGGACGCCACTTTATTCAGTCCCGAAGAGCAGTTAGCTATTAATCACAGCATGAAATTGATGCTTTATAGTCACTTGCCTCAACTTCAAGGCTTAAAGTATATCTATGTAAGAAGTTTTTAGAAGAAAATTTCAAATTTTCATATGCATACAACTGCAAATAATTTTCGGCAAATAAAACCTAAGGTTAATAATGGGTGTGGCACATCTTCATAGATAACTAAGATCCATAGCAATACTAACCCATTAAAAATAACAAAATCAAGGAATTAGCACTGAAGTAGACTTCATATCACATATGTACAGAATTACACTTATTTTTTTAGACTGCCTATTTTAGTAAGCCAAATTCAAGGTTACAAAAAGATATACTGAAGGACAAGACTATATGCGGTTTTATATTCTTTAAAATACACAACATGATTTTGTTTACATCTACATTTATTTAAAGGAAGGGAGGTCATAAACTCTACAAATCCCCTACACTAAGTCCCCTAACCTTTCAAAGCTTAGGGTTTTTCCCATTTAATTGTAAAATAAGATTTTGTTATTTCATGCTCTGAAATGCTCCAGTTTTAGGGGGGAACAATTTAAGACAATGATGCACACCGCTGAATCCGACACAGTGTACCAAGTGATGCCACTTTGTTTAGGATCCGCATGTGCACGTACGTGGACACTCACGAAGAGCCCCAAAGGTGTATGCCAAATTTCTTGCAGTGCTTCTCTCAAAGGAAAGATTGTGGCAATTTTAATTTTATGGGAATTCGAGTTTTTCTTGTTTTTTGATTCTCTGCATTCTTACTTTTCTACAATGAGCATTTAAAGCTGTTTTTCAATTTACTAGATAGGACTTTCAAATATAACTGACCTAGTACTCATTCAAAGACTATCTCAGTTTATTAATTTCAACAACGAATCTATTCTGGACACTGGTTCAAGTACATCTCTTTTCTGTATTATACTATAAGCAGGTAAATATCAAGAACCACATCTATACATGTCTGAAAGCTCTAAACCTATACATATGTAATACGTATTACACAAAATACTTTGAATTGGTGTTTTAAGTAACAGGAAAGTAGTTTACAACACACCTGCCTACGAAATTACAGCTCTGCTTTATTTGGCAAACATCTCTGTGCAGAATAATACTGTTCTACATAGAATATTCATCTCCAAAAGCAGAAGAAATTCTTTTTGAATAGGAAACCATACTTTAAGGATATTGAAAACAAAATATACCTCAATCTATTTCCAATCATAAGTCATGCTAGTAAAGGTTATGAGTTCAAAACTGTCTATATTACAAATTCCAGGTTTAGATCCTAAAATTTTTCGAAGGCTTTACACCAGCTTCCTATTCAATGATAAGTAAATTTTCTGGTACAAAACATCCCTTTTCTCCAAGTCTGTCTAACATCTAAAGAGGCATAAAAACCTAGAGAGGAAAGAGCACTTTAGTTTACTTTAGTTAGTTATAAAGACCATTGTATCAACCTCTTAAAATCTTGGTACAGTAACAGTCATAGATGACCCACATACACTGTTAAAATTAAAAAGTACCTTCACTTAAAAAGATACAGTAGCAGGCAGGCCTGTTAACAAACTCTATCTCCACTGAAGTTGTCACAATCATTTGAAATAGCCACAAGAATTTCGTTCAGGCTCAACATTTTATACAATTATCAAAATACTATTATTATTTAGCCCAAATAGAAAATTACATTTCCAGGAAAAAAATTCTAAAGGCTTACAATTCATTTCAAGGTATAAAAACACTGTTATGATTAATCTAAGTTCTAACACAGCTGTAGCTATTTAGGACTAAAAAAATCAGATCCTCCTTTAAGTCGAAACATATGGCTATTAAATAGCTATGATATGAGTTAACATCCCCTGTGTAAAATTGTAACTGTCTTTCTAATTAGAGAAACACAGAAAATACAAGTTTACATTTAACAACAACAAAAAAAGGAACACCATGACTGATACCATGAATGTTTTGACTTTTCAGAAGCAAATCTTTAAGCAACTAGAGACTTTTCTTTGATAAGCAATATGATGTAGGCTTCTGCCCAATGTTAAAAAGTGAATTTTCTAGTCCTGGCTCCTAGGTGTGCCTCAATGGATTGAGCACTGGCCTGCAAACCAAAAGATTGCAGATTCAGTCCCTGGCCAGGGCCTGGGTTGCAGCTGGTCCCAGTCAGATTCCTGAGCGAAGCAACCTATCAATGTTGTTATTTCACATCAATGTTTCTCTTCCTCTCTTTCTCCCTCCCTTCCCCTCTATAAATAAATAAAATCTTTTCTTTTTTAAAGTATATTTTCTCTAGATATTGGAATGGAAAGTTAAACTGATAAATAAGCCAACAGAAAAACAAAAATGTGCCTTTTAACAGGCAATCACAGCTTGCCTCTAATGACCTAGATGCCAATTAACTTCTTTGGTTCAACTTCAAATGTGGTTATTATCAATACCCACATTAAAAAAAATGAAATTAACAAAAGATGATGCAGTTTAAACCTTATACATTACAAATGGGGCTATGTGACTAACTAATCTAGACAAAGAGCAAATGGCTACCTACCTCACCTTCTTCAAAACTTTCCTCAAATGTTAGCTTCTCAGTGAGGCCTCCCCTAATCCATTTAAAATCAAAACCCACTCTCCTCCCCCAACCTCCCATATTACACCCTTACCTTGTTCCCCTCTCATCTCTTAACTCTTATCTAATGATACAGAGTTTGCTAATCTAATGTCTTGTTTATGGTCTGGTTCATCCCATTAGAATGTAAACAGCAAGGCAGCAGCTATCTTCTATTCACTGATAGATCACAAGCACCTGTACCTGCCTTATACATATATTTTCAACACTTGTGTTGAATAAACGTAATTTTTGGCTCTTCTAAAGGCATTTAAAGAAATGAACATCTCACTGACATTTAAATGGAAGCATAATGAACAATGAAACTAAATTGTAGCATAATTTCTAAACTGCAAGGCCTTCTGAGAAAGAAGCAATAAAAGCACTATCGAAAATTACTAAAACTAAAACTTTTTATTCACCCTTAATCCCATCAAACAAACTCTAATGTTGAAGTATTTAGACGTGAGACTTTGGTTAAAGGCTGTAAACCCACCCCCCTTTTTTAAATGGAGAAAAGGAAAAGATACCGGGTTAACCAGTAATAATTCAATGGTGCCATGAAACTATATAAAAGTTACCAAAAATAAATTAGTCATAGGGTAGTAGCTAGTAAAATACACTCTGATGAATGAGAGAAGGTAACAAAACAACAAACCACCAAAAAGCTCTAGAACAAGTTCCTCAGGACTTTCATTCTTCTAGGTAGTAGACATCAGCATAACAGATAAGAAACCGTGTTTCCTCATTAATACTAACAGTCAGTTTTCGGTGCAGCTTCACACACACCATTTCATTAAATCCTCAGAGAAACCAAAATCACAAATATCATCAGGTAACTGACAAAAGCACTTAATAATGTATGCACTTTAACAGTTAAGTGTAAGGTTCCCCTTGAAAATCCCTCACTGTGTCTGACACACTACAAAGAGACCATCTACAAAAGAACTACCCCCTTAACCCAGGAAACTTTGCTACAGGGCACAGCTAGCAAGAGCCTTGAAAACCTTCAAGCCCTTTGACCTAGTAAAGTCACTCCTGGGAACTCTCTTTAAGGAAATAATTAGACTGAACCAGAAAGCTATTAGTATAAAGATGTTTATTGCACCATTATCTATAGTAGCAAAAATGTGGAAACGCAATTCCCAACAACGGAATGGTTAAGAAGAAATTTTTTAAAAAGTGATGAGGGAAAAAAAAAAGCTGAACACAAAATACGTCACTAAAACTACATAAAAATGAAAAGGTAAAAAGCCACAATAAGGATTGAATGAAGGTAAAGTTATGTTCAAACTTTAATATTGTGGTTACGTTGTTCTAAAGGAGTAAAAGCCACCTTCTGAAATGTGACAATTAAAGGCAGAATTTTTGAAAGCCATTCAAACCAACTATTCACCCTCCCCCACAAAAGACCCAGAAGTCAAATATGGAGAAATGTTGTGTTGTATTACTTAAAGCAGACACGTGAATTTCCAGACTTTCAAGAATATTTTCTATCTCTAAACACGTCAAACCCAATGCTGCATTTTCTTCTTTACCGTTGGACCCGCACACTTATTTAACTGAAGATACATTCCAACCCCAGTAAAGACGCTCTCAAAAGTTTAACTGGTTTATAAAGAACCCAGATAAGTGAGTCAGAACTGAAAGAATTCTACACGTGCATTAACTAAATATCTGCACAAGAATAGAATTTCACATCACATGAGTCCAATAAACAAAACATGTCTTTATCAAAAAGAGTAGGGCTACAACTTATGTCTCAAGAACTTAAAGTCTGAGAGCCAATGCAACTTAAGTCTTAGTTTTAATTCTTATTTAAACGAGTTGACTCTGCTAGATTTCTGATTAATATCTAAGGGGGGGGAATGCATCATCCTTTTGTAGAAAAATTGTATTTAAACCTTCCCCACCTTTCTCTTCGGATGCCACTGACAAAGGGCAACGAACTTTAAGTTACAGAATCCTAAATGGATTAGCTAGAAAAACAGGCACACCTTTTAAATTAGTTTAGCTGGATACATCTGTAGGTGTTTCAGAGAAGGGAAACTGCGCGCGAAGGAGGGTAGGAGTCAAAAAACCAATGTTCTCCCCGCCCCGCCCCCCCCAGGCAGCAGCACTACAATACTTAAAATTCAGCTCGGTTCCTTCTTGATGGGTAACTTCTGCTGTAAATGAAAATTCTTTGGAAATGGACTGCTAAAAACCTGTTTTCAAAAAGAAATGGGTGAAGAGGAAAAATGTCCCTTTATCCCACCTTCCAAGGCCTAGAATGTCCGTCTGCTTGAGGAGGACCCCGGTCACCAGCCGGCCCCGCCGCCTAGGCCCGGCGCGGATGGGCTCGGGCACGCGGGGCGGCCCTGCGTGCCCTTGGTGCGCTCTGGCGGCGCTCCCCGAGTTAAGGGCACTGGCCACAAAGGAATGGAGTCTATTGACATTTGCTGCCCCGTCTGAACACTAAGCATTTTCTCACTTCTTGAAATACGAACTGACCCCCACCCCCACACTCACCCCCTCCCAGGTCAGACCCGGTTACCGGAGACGACCCTGCGCCCCCCGTTTCTACTACCAACCTGAGTATCGGGGGTCGAGGGGGAGACCCCGCAAGTAAACACCCGCACTTCTGCATCCAGGAGCCCGGCCACGTCCCCTGCTGGAACCCCGCTCCCCTCGAAGTCTCCGAACTCGGGGCGGGGGTCGGGGGGCCACGCGCTGCGCGCCCGCCCCCCCCCCCGGTCCCGCCCGGACTTCTGACGCACGCCGGGCCGGCCCCCGCCCACCGCTCCCCAAAGGCGCCTTCTCTCCCGCGGCCTCCGCACGGCACTGCGGCTCGGCCACCACCCGCGCGGGAGGCCTTGCGGGGGAAGCAGGGAGGCCGGAAGGGGGCCGGGTCCTCCCCACCCCCAGGTGCGGGAGCTCGGAGCCCGGCCGCCGCCTTCCCTTTGAAGGCGGAAGGGTGCAGGGACCCCTGCCCACCCGCCTCAACCCAGGAACAGGCAGGGGGTGGCCGAAGTCACGGGACGAACCCTAAGGACCCCAGATGTGCCCCGAGGCCGCCCTGATAACGGTGAGGGAGGGACGCTGCCCTAACTGCCCCCCCTCGTTAATCCCTCGGGGGGGGGGCAAGTTTCTGGAGAAGGAACCAGAACCCCAAGACCCTTCCACGTTAATGTTCAAGCCGAGGGTGGGGGCGCTGCCCCAGCACCACCCCCATCTGGAGCGGAGGAGGCATAAAGGCGGCGGAACAGGGGCTGACAATTGCTGAGACCTGTGAACCGCTCCCAAACGCCTAAATGGAGAGGGGGAGGCTGCCCAGTCCTTCCATCTTGACCGTTCGGGGGAGGGGGTGGGGTGCTGCAGGCGGCTGGACACCGCCTGACATTCCCGGAGGAAACGCGCGGCGCCTCCCACCCAACCCCCGGGCTCCAGACCCAAGCGGGGAGCCCCACCCCCACTGCGGGCCCCCGGCCCACCGCCCCCCCACCTCCGAAGCCCGGCCGGTCACGGGGCGGGGACGGCTGTGCGGGACGCGGGGGAGGGGATGCGAGGCCCGGGCTGGGCCCGGCCCGAGCGGAGGGGGTTGGGGCGCGACACCCACCTGCCCAGGCCCGGCCGCCCGCCGCCAGAGCTCGCCGCCACCGAGGAGGAGGAAGCCGCGGCCGAGGATGAGACTGAAGGCGATGACGGCGCGGCGGCGGGCGACGTGAGAAGGCCGCCGCCACCGGGCTTGCGGGCATTGGCGACTGCGGGTGGTTGCTGCTGCTGCTGCTGGGGCTTCAGCGACATGGTGAGGGGCCCATATATCGGCCCGCACGCCGGGCGGGGACAGCCGGGAGCCGGGCGCGCCGAGGAGACGCCGGAGCGCGGCGGGGACGCGCGGGCGCCGAACGGGGAGGCGCGGGTTAGCGTGGCCGGGGGGGCGCCCGGGCCCGCGAGGGGGAGAAGGAGGACGACGAATGGGCGGGGAGGCCCGCCGAATCCAAGGAGCTGCCGGGAGCCGGGCCGGGACGCGCCGCCGCCGTTGCCGTTGCTACCAAAACAGTCTGAGGCGGAGGGAGGCGAGCGCTGCCCAGAGGGAGGGGGGCCGGGGCCGGGCGGAGGAGGGGCGGCGGAGGGATACGGGTCCGGAGCTGCGATGCCGCCGCCCCGCCGCTCTGGCCTCGGGAGCGAGCGCCGTCCGGGCCACCTTGCCGCAGGTAGGCGGCGAGGCTCGATGGCCGCTGCTGGGCCCCGAGGATCTGCGGCCGCCGAGCGCATCGGGGGCCGGACAGAGAGAGGCTCCCCGTAGCGTTGCCGGGTGGGCGCGGAGGTGCGGGAATGGGAACTCTTTACCGGAAGTCGGAAGGGTCGGACGGAAGCAGAACGTGAGGCGGCCCCAGGGCCGGGAGGGACACGTGAGAAGCGGGCGCCGCGCTGGGCCTCGTTCGTGGGGGTCGGGCGAGGGCCCGGCGGCCGGCCCTGCCCAGGTCCGCCCTCCTCGAGGCGGGTCTGCCCTTTGGAGAGGGCGTGTCTGTCTTTGCCTGCGGGGCCAGCCTAGTACGGAGGACTTGAGGGAAGCGTTTCTTCCCCGCCCCCCAATATTCCTTCAACGTCCTCAGACTAAGAACCCGAGATTGCCCCCACCTGATGCAACCTAAAAAAAGTACTGCGAATGCCGTCAGGGCGGACATTATGTCTTGCAAAGTGTAAAGCACCTTGAACGCAAGCATCTCATAGTTTTCTTTGTATCCCCAGCACCTGGCACACAGTAGGCTCTCTCGGTGTCACTTGGCGTCTCAAAGGCAGGCCGTCCTCTCTTTCCCTGCCAAGACTAATGGTTGGAATCAAGCAACCTCCCGGGGCCACTCACATATGGTTACCTTTTCCCCACTTTTTCACCCCTGCAACACAGTAACCAGAAAACTCTTGGGTATCTGACCTTCATTTGAACCCATTTCCCCTCACTTGAACTTCTTGTTCTTCATTCATGAGACTCAAAAGGAAGTGTACGTGATTGGTAGAGCTACGGATAATGGGGTCTCCTTCGGTGGAGACAGAACAGACCTCACAAGAATGTGAACTTTAGACCTTGGCCCCTTCAGAAGTTTTACTTTAACTTAGATTGTTAGCCAGCACAGTAGTCCGTTTTTTAAATGTGTTGCAATTAAACTGGAAGCAAGTACGTAACTTCACTTTTTTAAGTGAAGAATTCAGTGTTTAAAAAAGCGAAGTTACTTTAGGAAGTGATAGGAAGAAAACACCAAAATTCCCCTCAATATTCCAGATAAAAACATAGTATATTTAGAGAATGATTAAGCCACGAGTCTCCAGTAGCCAAATTGAAATTAATCTCCTATTTAGTCCAGGCAGAAATGATCATTATACTCTGCAAACACCTGAAAAGTAGGAAAATCAGCTTTATCTCCTATCTGAGTAAAAAGGAGACTGGGGGGACAGGGAGGGGGGGACTAGTATTCTTTTAAATCAGTAGTTGCAAAATCCTTTAAAAATTAACCCAAAGGAAATTGAGATTAAAAAACCAGAGGAAGAAAAAGAAATAGGACCATAGTAGAAATACAATAAACTTTTCTGTAGCTTAATGATTTGACAATTAGCCATATCAGGGACCAAGTTCCCAGAATTCAATCTTAGGACCAAATTTCAGACAGATGGAAGGAAAAAGGGAAGTGGAATAAGAAGGCCTGAAACTGACAGAATTGAACTTGATTTCAGTTGTCATTCGATTGTTCAATTGATTTCATTCACGCTGAGAAAGCTCAAGTTTTCACCCATTATCACTCAAAATATTTTTATCAGTTTTACTGAAGTATAATTTATGTTATGGAATTTACCCATTTTGTTTATACAACTCAATAATTCTCAATATGTTTACAGAGTTATGTAATCATAACCACTAATTTCAGAACCTATCCCTCACCCCAAAAGAACCCTCATTCCCATTTGCAGTGACTCCTAGTTCCCATCCTCAGCCCCAACAACTAAGTTACTTTCTGTCTCAGTGGACTTACCTGTTCCAGACTTTCACGTAGAATCTTACAGTGGGTGGTCTTTGTCTGCCTTCTTTCTCCTAGTGTATTGTTTTTTTTTTTAATAAATATTTATCTTTAGAGGGGAAGGAGAGAGGGAGAGAAACATCAATGTATGGTTGCCTCTAGTGCATCCCCTGCTGGGAACTGGCCTGCAGGAAACTGACTTGCAACGCAGGCATGTGCCCTGACTGGGAATTGAACTGCGATCCTCTGGTTCGCAGACCTTTGCTCAATCCACTGAGCTACACCAGCCAGGGTAGTGTATTGTTTTTTGAGGTTCATCCATGCCGTAGCATGGACCTGCGTTTCACTCATTATCACCAGGTAGTACTCGGTTGTATATTTGTGTATCTCCTCACCATTTGGTGGGCATTTAGATAGTTTCAAGTTTTTGGCTATTATGAATAATGCCGCTGTGAACCTTTGTAAACATTATGTCCATCACATCTTTTCATTTCTCCAGAGTAGATTCCTAGGAATGAAATGTTCACTGATATGGTAAAATTTACATTTAACTTTTAAAAATACTATCATGCCCTGATTGGTGTGGCTCAGTGGATTGAATGCCAGCCCACAAACCAAAGGGTCGCTGGTTTGATTCCCAGTCGAGGGCACGTGCCTGCGTTCCCAGCCGGGTCCAAGGCAGGGAGTGTACAAGAGGCAACCACACAGGCCCTGGCTGGTGTAGCTCAGTAGATTGAGTATGAGCCTGTGAACCAGACAATCGCGGTTCAATTCCCAGTCAGGGCACATGCCTGGGTTGCAGACCAGTTCCCTGCAGGCCAGTTCCCAGCAGGGGACGCACGAAAGGCAACCATACATTGATGTTTCTCTCCCTCTCTCCTTCCCTTCCCTTCTAAAGAAATAAAATATTAAAAAAAAAAAAAAAGAGGCAACCACACATTGCCAATTGTTTCTCTTTCTCCCTCCTTCCCCTCTCTCTAAAAATAAATAAAATCTTTTAAAATAAATAAATAAATAAAATACCCTCAAACTTTTTTACCCCAAAGTGACTGTGCCATTTACGTTCACACTTGGAGTGTTTGAAGGTTCATCATTAAAATTTGATTTATGTTTTCCTATTAAAATGGCGACCAAGAGAACCTCTACTGTCATTCTATTTTATACACTCCCCCGCCCCCATTTTTCTGTATTGGAGATGACCACCCAGAACCAAGGAATCTCTATTGCTGTAAACTCTTCCCCTGAATCCTAAACACCTGCAGTGATGGTTCTTTAGCTGCCACTGTGGCATGAGAGGGCTTTCCCTAATGACAGGGTAATACGCCTTATGACAAAGTGGCGTGGCAGGCAGCCCAAGATGACCCCATATGACCCTGTCCTGGTGTTCAGAGCCAGTGAAACACCCTCCACTTGAACATAAGCTGGACCTAGTGGCATCTTCCTCACAAAAAGAAAAAAGGAGGGGTTCTCACTTCCAAGATTAGGTTACAATACACTGTGACTTTCAGTGGGGACTGCCCTCTGTCACTCACTTGCTTTGAAGAAAGACAGCGGCCATGTCAGAACTGCCCTCTGGAGAGGCCCCCCAGGGTAGAACTGACATCTCCACCCACGGCAGGGAGGGGCTGCCTGTCGGCTGCCTACAGCCCTGCCAATAAGATTGGAAGCAGATCATGCCCCATCAGTCCTTGATATGACCTCTGCCCTGGTCAGTGCACCTTAACTAGGCTTTGTTGGAGACCCTGAACTAGAGATGCTCAGCCACACCACACCAGATTCCTCCTTACTCTTTTGTTGTTTAAGTTAACAGATTTGGGGGTAATTTGTATGCAGCAAAAGATAACTAATATAGACAACCAAGAAAAAAGTGATTTCCTGTGATTTCCATGTGCACTCAGAATTCTTTAAAGACAAATGCTGAAGTAGTCAGGGACTAATATTGTATCCAATAAATGTTAAATTTTTTAGTACGCCCCACCCCAAATGATTTGGGGGGCACACATTCAAACAAAACCAAGTACCATTGGAGAGTTGTCATTGCAGGCGATGAGAAACACCCATGAAAGAGTTCTGATATTAAGAAGTGTTGCTACAATTTTATCCCCTAAAAAAGCAGTGGCCACTGCAACCACTATTTCAGAAATGAAGATTAGGATCAAGGGAGAAACCAGGTAAAGACTTTCTAACTTGGGCATCTAGTCCTACGGATTCCGCACTTGCTTTCTGCTTCTCTGTGACCCTTCGGCAAGGCACGTGGCACTCTGATTTTCACCACTTCAATGATTAATCAAGTCTAGGTGGGGATTTACAAATGAAAAACTGATGTCACCGAGCAAAGCAGAAGTGCAGACGGTGATTCGCTGCCACCCGGTACCGCAGCGCACATCCGGTGATCCAGGATTCCCAGCGATTCATTTATCTGCAATCATTTCTCTTCAGCTCGCTTCGGCTGATCATGTTTAATGTATGATGCTACATTATTCACTCAATACTCTTGATTTCGCTTTCAAAAGCATGAAAATGACTTCAAATCAAAACTAACACGCACTCCCCTCCCCTCCAAAAATCTATCCTCTTGAAGTTTTTGCAAAGACCAATCCTCATTTGAGAGAGAGAAAGAGAGCACATGCAGATGTAATTTCAAAAATAGGACCATGGCTAATTAAACCAGTGTTTTTTTCTAACCATGGTTACTCAGAATTCTTAGAGGCTAATCTATTTGTAGACACTCCAGGAATCCCAAAAGACTAAAAGCAGTTTAAAAAAAGGTGTGTGTGGGGGGGACTTCCAAGAGGCATTATTTATACACCTTGTATGCAAAGTAACAACTTTCACATAAATTTGAAAAAAAAAACAAAACCCACGGGTGTGTGGGAAAATAGTAGGGAACACAGCAACATGATTTGAAAAAGCTTCCCAATGAGCCCTTTCCTCCCCACAAGCACACTTCTGGTTATTAAGCTGCTCATTTTGTTTTACCTTGTGGGACAGAATAACGATGCGGTGACATTATTCACAAGGCAAAAGCTGGATGCCAGCTGAAACAGACACAGAAGAAAGAATTCTTTATTTTTCATTGGAAATGCTTCTGCTGCACGGAGCCAGAAATTTAAAGAAACTCGGCCTTTTTATGCTTCCTCTTTCTCCCTTTTTGTTTTCGGATGCCCCCTTTCTGGGGTGAATTCTGCAGGCAGCCTGTTGTTTTAGGGGCCACGGATTTATGGAAAGCTTAGAGGTGTTGTGAAGCAGGCCCCATGTGGGAAATGCAGGAGGGGATGTAAAAGGGACGTGTGCAGCACCAGTGACAGCTGACCTGGCCATTAGCAAGG